TTTCCATTGTATTTCCATGCAGTAGGAAAGGATTAACCCAGGGACACCATTTCCTTTTGCTGTTGGTTTGTTGGGCGCTCCAGCACCCAACCGGCAGCGCCCGGGGTTCAGAGATGGAAGTGCCGTGCCAAGGAATACACTGTTCATCCAACATCTGCCATTTCCTCACCAAAAATGAGGCTTTTGGCAGGAAGACCCCGTGGATAATCATTAACTCTGGCAGTCTGAGCACTTGCAGCAAGACAAAAGCAGTAGCAGGATGAACCACCGAGCGCCCAGTGGCTTTGGAGGCGAAGTGTAGAGGAGTGTTGTTTACCAAAACATCTGTGTTACGACATTGCTCGCCCTGCCCTGACCCTTTAGGTTGCACCAGAGGTAAAATCATACCTACCTATGATATATGCCATGATTCTCCTTTCTTTCCAGCAAGATGCTGAGTGGAGAAATGACGTAGACCTGAATTAGCTACGTATTTGTGGGCTTTATTTTCTTTTCATTGAGCTTTCAACATGTGATACAAAATTTATGAAGAATCTGTTGAAGCAAAAGCAGAAACAAGCTTCCCCCTCCCAAATTATACTATTCATGATAAGCTGGAAATAGTAATAGTAATAATAATAAAATAAAAAAAGAGGATTTTTCAGTTACATGTGCTTGATCCTTGAAAATGAATGAATAAGCAAAGACTTGATGGGAATGTGTGGGTCTTTTTAATCCTAAGGGTTATTCCAGCATGCATCTACTTCATGCACACCTACTAAATACTGTGGTGTGTTATGGTAGTGGTGCTGTTGGATGATTTTCTCTCCATAGTGAATATTTCAGCAATGCAACAATGCTGGTGAAAATAACAGTGTGGATTTAAACTTTTTTGTGGGCATTTCTATAGAAATATGGCTTTTCTGTGGGGGGTGAATGTGCTCTCCCTGCAACAACTTGACCAAAACCAGGATGCCTGAAAGCAGATTCTGACATAGCAGGTTATACACTACTGGCTGGATTTTTCATGGTGAAAACAGCGAAGCCTTGTCAGATCAATTTATTACAAAATTCCAGAGAAGGGACTGATATGTGATAAATCCATGAAAATGATGTGGAGCCCTGTGTGCTGAGCCAGCCATGGTAGGGTTGTGGATGTGTGCTTGCAGTCCCCAGAACTGTGACATCACACTGGATTCATATGGGGCCCCTTGGCTTTCAGCAGACGGTGTAACTGTCCCCAAATAATCTGCTGCTTCTTCAAAATATTTACAAACTGCAACTGGAGATGGCTGAGAATCGGGTGGTTCTCTCTGCTGGAAAGCATGTTAGGTAAAATCTAACTGGGTGGGGAATACAGGTACCAGTTCAAGACATGGTCACTCATTCTATAAGAGGAATGACGTGTCACAAGAGGGGACGGCTTTAAACAGAAAGGGAGTTGGTTCAGATTGGATATTAGGAAGAAGTTATTTATTGTGAGGGTGGTGAGGCCCTGGCACAGGTTGCCCAGAGAAGCTGTGGCTGCCCCATCCCTGGAAGTGTCCAAGGCCAGGTTGGACGGGGCTTGGAGCAACCTGGGCTAGTGGAAGGTGTCCCTGCCCATGGCAGGGGGTGGAATGAGATGACCTTTAACATCCTTTCCAACTGAAACCATTCTATGATTCCACGATTGTCTGTCCATAATCATGGCACATTTCTCTTGTTGATGATATTCATTCACCAGATGGGGCAAGAAACCTGTCTGAACTATTTTAATCATTGTCTTAATTACTCTGGGAATACAATCAATGTCACTTTGTGCTTCCCCAGCACCTGAGGGTCTCAGAACATCCAACTCAGACAAAAATCTATTGCATTTGCATTACTGATCTTGCTTTGGCTGGATGCTTAATTTGGCAGGACTGATACGAGATTAACTGAAATCAGACATGTTTCAAGAAAAAAAACTTACGCCTTTGGCAGTTCACTCCTCACCCTAAAACATAACTAATGATTATGATGCCTATGAAAAGCTCTTATGAAAAAAATCCCAAATAATAATAAAATTATAATTAAAAAGGTGTCTTCTATATTTTGAATTCCTACATCAGCTGCTTAGATATTTTGATGGATCTATCTCCCAATATTTTCAACCATAAAGAGGAGTTTCTATCTAAAACATCAGTGAAAAAAAAGATGGAGATATTGTTCCTCCAGTCACTTCTTGAGCCCTTCAGTCTGGAATGGGATCAGCACATGCAGGCAGCTCTGAGGGGGAACTAAAGGCATGAGAAAGGTAATGGATGACTGAACATACAAGTAGATAAAATGGAATTTTATCATGACTGAAATGCTTGTTAGGAATCAGCTACATATTTCCAATTTTTTTTTCAGCTGTTGCATACAATGATCATCAGGTTATTTAGAGAGAAAGTCTGATTTTTTTACAGGAGTAAAGCACTCATAATGTGCTACAAATGTTACAAATGATTTTTTGACTTTTTTTAAAGCAAGTCTTATATTCTCCGTTGGCTACACTGTATTAATTAATCCTCAGTTCCTCAGTGCTCTTCATCCATAGTCACAGCTCCCAGGGAACTTCACTAGTGGGAGATTTTAATAATGAATATATTAATCTTTAAATTTAAGCCCATCCCCAAGGTTTTTAAAGTCAAATACAGGCTTAAATGCTTTACAGAACCATGACCATCATGTTTATAAAGTGAAACCAGTGGTAGATTTTCCTAAACAAAATAATCATTAAAAGGGCCTGAACCTAAACATGTCCCATACCTATAAGAAAAAAAATAAATCTTACTCCCAGTCACAAGTTTTTGGGGTCTTACATTTTCTTTTTTGATGATGGAAGTCCCAGCTGGTTAAAGGGTTATTCCAATAAATCATATTAGAATAAAGCTCAATCCCTGCTGCAGGTACCGTGTGATATTTCCTTCAGAAACAGGCTGAAAATCCTTCCTCAACCTCATCCTTCCTCAGCTACTAAAGGGAAAGCATTTAAGTGTGTTGTGGAATAAAGATCTGGATGGAGAGTTTGCTCTGATGGATTGATGTTGTAATAGTTTGAAACAGCAAAATAGAACATGGAAAATGCTTAATATGGACCACAGTCTAAATGCCACAGAGATTTCAATATGGTGACAGAACCAGATTATCATCAGACTTTTTCCTTCCTTACAACAACCTCTGTTTTTACAGGCTTTGTGTGCACAAATATTGTCTGTCTCTGGTGTAAATTGGCACAGAATTGTTAATTTCATTCCTTTTAATCATTCCTGTGTGACCTTTCTGTTGTCAGATCTGTTTGGATAAACAACACTCCACTCCATAGCACAAACATCAATGCAAGGTCCGTTTATACACACCCAGTTAGAAAGTTGCAAAGAAATATGGAAAAATAATGGCAGCGAATGAAACAGAAAATATGATGTTCTCTCTTGGTTTTGGTGGCTAACTATACACATAGGAAAAAAAACACCAGGAAAACCCAGTCACCATATTGATCCAGGATGACAAGGATGTCGGATAACCTAGTTCAAATCACTGGAATCCATGGCATGCTTTGCTTCACATGTGAGAGATGTGCAGCACACACCAAACATGCACTCCAGAGGTCGTAATCAGAACGAGCTCTGCACATCTTGGGTGCTAATTACAACCTGGGACTCAGTGGGGGGACTTCCCAGCAGCACATCCACGGGAAGTCTTCATGCAAGCCCTGGGAAAACCATGCACCTAATCCCTACACTCTGTCCTGAGTTTCATTTCTGAGATACATCCACTTACAGAAAGGATTTCAAGCGTTATTTTTGGCCGCGGAAACGCAGTTTGGAGCAAGATGCAAGTGCAGCACTTTCAGTAAGTGGATGTCTGACTACAGACATGAAAATATTATCTTTTCATGGAAATGCAAACTAGATGCTAGGGAAAAAAATAAAAAAGAAGAAAAAGTAGGCAGCTGGAGGATATATTTTCCCCTGAAAATTGTAATTTAAATGGAGGACATCATTATATTATGATTGTGGTTACTTAGGGTGGAACTAATCACTGGGTAATTGTATTTGCTACAAAATAAGGATCTCCTGCTTTCCCCTGACATCTTTTAGTTTTATTTAAGGTTTTCATGGCTTGCCTATTTTCCTCAGGAATTCAGTGCTAAATCAAATAGTCTTACCCATGTTTATGAGTGCAAGAAATAATCCAAGCTCACAAAAAAATTGGCAAAATCAAATGTGTGTGGTGTTTAGGCAGAGAAGCCAACACCAAACGTGCTGCCACATATCCCAGTTATTCCAAAGGATGTTATAATTTTTATAAGGAGAATGCCTGCCTGCACTCAAAATTAGAATGAAGACCATCTCAGATGGCTTCTTCTAAGGTGGAAACTCACAAAAAGGATTTCAGCTTAAAAAACCACTTAAATCACAAAGTTATAAACTTCTAAAGGAAAATTTTAGGACTTATGTGGATTTTAAAACAATTTTAAGTGGTGTGAGAATTGTGTGGTTTAAGTGGAATGAATTTAAGGTTACAAGAAACATGAACATGAGCAATTTTAAGGGATCTTCCTAGATTAGAATTCAGCCCAAAGTTATTAAATTTTGTCACTAAATCTCATTGATTTCAGGGAATTTTGGACCATGTCCCTGGAACGTATGAAGCGCAGCAAACTGTCCCATGAGCATAATAGTTATGTATATACCTGGTCAGTATTTTAATTTCCAGATAATTGACCTGTAAAAAAGTTAAGTTTTGGTTTGGTTTTGGTCTTTTTTCAATCTTGTATTTATGCTTATTTTCTAGGCCTTTTAAAGAAAGGTGAAAAAACTGGCATTAAAATGCACTTTGGTGCCTGATGGATTAACAAAATAAAAGTAAAAATCAACCAAAGCAATTTAATAGACCCTGTGACTCTTTTTGAAAATCGACCTAGTTCAGCTGAGGTGTCTTTTCTTACTTTGTCTCTTTTTCCTATGTGTATATTAGCAATTTAAACTGATTACTGTTTTATTTGTACTTACAAGTAAATGCTGGATTCATTGCCCCCGATATCAGGTGACTGGAGTTTCTGCACAAGTATCACAATTATGCCAATAAAAAGCACAAAGTTTATCTGGGGGAAAAAAAAGAAAAACATTATGACAATGACTTATTCTTTTAAAGTATGAATGGGACATTCCCAGTGACTTGCTGATTCCATTCCTTTATTCTTCTCCAAACTGCATTCTAAAAGCTTTATAGTGTCAGAAGTAATGGGATAAGTTTACAAGCATCTTATCACCCCTTTTGCAGGTAGAAATATCCCTCTTCCTGCAGATAAAGTGACTCAGGATTTCTGCAGTTCCAAGACCAAGAGAAGAGAATCATAAATGGAAGAGTTTCAATATTTTTCATTATCAACCAGTGCAGAGAGTAGAGAGATCCCTGCACACCAAAACCACACAGCAAAGATCTCAACAACAGAAGTATCTTTAACTTCCATTCTCTGAACTAAGGGACTTCTCAGTTTAACAGTTTTTAAAAATTTGGAGAATAAGAAAGTCAGTTTTTTCTAATGCTCTGGCATCAGACTTGGCTGCCATCAGCTCCAAAGCTTCTTAAAGCCAGAAGAAAACAGTGGAAATTTGTGTTGGTCCTCTGTAGGGAGAACCAAGAACTTAAAGCAGTTGTGTGCATCAGAAAGATTTCAGAATCTTCAGAAAGATTTTCTATCTGATCCAAGGACTGCAAATGGATGGAGAAGCCCAGTTGTCCCATGGAAGATTCTTGGTTCTTTCATGCTATCAACAGAAACCCAGTATAAGTGATTGGCCAAACCAGAATCTGATCCTTCATGGAATGTGCCTGTAAAGCATGGAAATTCACATACAAGGACAAAACCCCTGGATGGCTGAACCCTCTCCATGTTGATCCCCTTCACTGTTATCAGCTGAATTACCTTTAATTTATCTGCAGGTTGCTCTAATTTAGGGAGCTGTCCAAATACAGCCAAGGAGAATCATCAGACCTGATATAAACTCCTGTGAGCTGGATGTCTGAATTCCCAAAACAATCACTGAAAACCTGGCTGATGCTGCCTCTGGAGCATGGAAAGCAGCTTAGGATGCCCAGAATCAGACAGCTCCATGTGACAACCCTAACAGGTTTTCAGGTGCCCCTAACCCTGTTGTCTGGGCTCTCAATCTAGTTTCCAACTCCAGGAGCCCAACAACGCTTTAAAATTCCCATATTCTGTTGGGGCACCAGAATATCTCCTTCTCTGGAGATATTCAAAAGCCATCTGGACACAATCTTGGATAATGTGTTCTAGGGGATCCTGCTTGAACAGGGAGGTTGGACAGTGGTCCCTTCCAATCTTACCCCTCCTGTGGTTCTGTGAAGCCCAAACAGGGCTCATTAGAACCTCTCAGTCATCCATAAATGGGTATCCAACAGCATTTCAGTCAAATCCAAGACCTCCATCAGCTGAAGAGAGCTTAGATACCTTGCAGACAATTTAGTATCTTGCACTATGACCACAATACTGTTATAAATCTAATATTAGATAAATGTAACTGTGAAAGTAGTTCCATTCAGCAGCCAGAGTCCATTTTCCTGGTCGCTGACATCTAGTATTGTTTTAGATGTCCTGGATTGTCACATTTGACCTTCAGCTGCTGCCCCAAATGGCACAGGATTCCCACACATCCTATGCCTCGTCTCCCAGCCCCAGACAAATGCTCTGGGGTGTTTTAGTGTCTATGTTTAAACAACTGAATAACCCTTTGTCTGCACAGCCTTTGCTCGCAGGCAGAGAATCATCATTTAATTTGTACTAAAACTTTTATTTAACAGTGGAATTACGAATCATTGTGGGTGGCAAACAATGGGCATTCAGAGAAGGTGCCCACCAGCCCAGCATAGTTTGTAAAGGTATTTGAAGATATTTAAATTAGTTTTTTTGTCCTCAGAAGAGTTGAGGAAGTGTCTACTCCAAGCCCTACTTACCATGATTGATCCAACCACAGGACCCTTGATCACCCACCACAAGGCAGTGTTGTCATTCATGTCCCAGCAGCTGCAGTCATTGAGGAAAGAATGGGATGGGGAGAGAGAAGGGAAGAGAAAAAGATATAACAAAGAAGTTTTATAATGTTTATAATCATTTTGAAGGGGGCAGAGAGTGGGAGATCGGTCTTGCAGATAAATTATTTTGAGTTCAAAGTACAAGTTCTTTAGTTTGTCCCTGTTGTAGCTTTATTTAACAGCCTTTCCCAACTTACCTGAAAGTAAAAAAAGTATTTTTGTGTCAGTTAAAATGGTACTTCCCCCTAAACAGCTTAGACATTATGGAAAATGCCTTAATATGTGTTTCTGTGCCTACAGTACAACTGTAAATTTGTCTCCTTTTTTTTATAAAAAAAAGACAAGGATGCCCCAAAGGGTAAGAGATAGTTATTCCAAAGTTTGATTTCTCAGTTGCTTTTCCATGGTTAACAGATATGAGTGTGGATTTCTGACCCTAATATGAGGATTCTTACACATTTCTAGTACACCAGGATGTACCAGAGCCTGGTTGTACTCACAGATGGGAATGAAAGTCCAGCCAAGGAGCAAGGATTCATCTGAGAAGGTTCAAATACTGGACAACAGTTGGGGTCAGCTCTTTTTTAAGCTGTTGGGAATGAGGGACAATAAATAAAATGACATTTCTACCTGAGCATTTAAAATCTTCCTTTGGATTTACCAAAGAATAATCCAGAAGTTTACTCCACATAGGTTCGTTTGGACATTTATTTGTAGTGAAAGCTAAATATAGGACCCATATATATATAGGGTTTTAATGTTAACAGATACTTTTAAAGCTAGAAAACCACTAATAATGAAAAAAATCTTGTTTTTCCACCCCTGCTACACTGTTGTAATGACAATTATATATCATTGAGACATAATGTCTTAATGACTGTTTTAAGTCATCAAGAATTTGACTGTCAGCTAAAATTTTCTTTCATTTTTCTCCACTTTCCTCCCCTGATATTTGCCTCTAGAAAATACAAAAATCACGGAAAACTGCCTACTTTGTACCTGCAGTTTTGAGAAGAAGGTTTTCCCCCCCACTGGGAGCACAGCCACGAATCCCAGCAGTGGCTGTCATGGTGCATTTGTCAGATGCCAAGAAACGATTGGAAAGAGCACACAGGAATAAAACACTGCTGGTCTTACGAGAGGTTAATGCAACCTCTGTGTCACTGAAATGGTTGTCTGGTGGCATCTGGGGGAAAAGTGAAAATCTTTCCTTTGAACAAAACTATTTACATGTGTAAAAGTGAGGAGGCAGAGCTAAAATCCCATCCTTAAAGAGCATGTGGGAGAAATCCCAAGTGGCTGAGTGATGCCTGGCTCAGAAATTCCAGTTGAACTTATTTTTTCCACGGAACAATTTTTATTATATTTCACTTAGACAGTATTTTACTGGATTTCCATAGAACCAATAACAAGGATGTATGTGGTGTAGCTGATGAGAAGAGAGAAAATTTAGAGTTGGGGTGCCAAATTTGCACAAAATTATTTAATTTTGCTTCTGTTTGCAATGCCCAGAATCCTAAAATTGCCCCAAATCCACGAGACTGATGGCTGAGATTTTCAAATGCAAATTAATATCTTTGAGTTACCTCACTGTGGATGCCCAACATAAAATACCTGGAAGTGGATAAATGTTTAGAGGGAACTCCTCACCCCCAGCCTGGAAATCAGACTCTCTTCAGTGATCAACAATTGTATTTCCCCAAACAAAATCACCTGAAACCACCAATTATCTTTTAAATTATTTGTGTGTTTACAAATTAGGTGCTACCCTCTGAAAATTACCCATTATGTCAGAGCTCAACCTCTTTACAATGTACATTAAATCTACCCTGAAAGTCTTTAGTGAGTTGACCAATGCTGGAAGAATCTGGGAAAATTCTGATAATAATTTAAATAGATATTGATGTATGGTAGTTTGTCTATGTAAAAATGAGAAATTACAGGGAAAGGAATTTCCCTCCTCTAGTTCCAGTCATCTCTACTGAAGACATGGACAGTCCAGCTAATTATCCTGGAATCTGGTTGGGACAAAGAGACACTTGGAGGTTGTTTTGGGGTGTTTTTTCCACACTGAGGTATTTTAAATCTGTGCTCTGGGGTGATACAGCATCCCCTACAAATTCTTATCCATTTTAGACCTTTTCCTCAACTTTTACAGGATGAGCTCGGTTTCCCACCTCTGCCTTGCAGATGTCAACAAGGAATCAGGTGAAGCTCACACAGAGGTTTATCAGGGATTTTTTCTTGTCCCAGTCCCTGTGACATCTGTAGGATGGATGGAGTGGAAGAAACATCATCTTCTCCTCAGCCAAACGTGGCCAGAAGGAAAAACAAGCAAAGCACAACAGGGCAGTCAGTGTTATCAGCCAACAAGCTGCTCCACATAAACAGGCTCCCTAATTTCCCTCAAATGCATCACTGCAGTGCAGGTCAGACAGGTAGGACTCTTTTCCAGGATGGATGCAGGGGAATGAGCCTGTGGGCTGGGGGAGGGATGTGATTTCCATCTGAAAAGGCCAGAGTCTGCTCTCTGCCACATCTCTGGTGTCCATCTGGAATAACTCCCTTTAATTCAACACCAGAGCTCTGGATAAACAGACAGTTGGATTTATCTCCACAAACCTGTCGCTGACAGGGATGGGAATCAGGAGCTGAAGTCAAGGGAGCTCTGCCAGTTTTATAAGGAACAAGCAGAAGGAGACTCAGACTCTGAATCTGTATTTGAGTCCATGCCTTTGCCACTGTGGTTTTCCAGTTCAGTAATTCCTGCAGTGTTTTCAGGCTCTGTGTTGGCTTCTCCCCCACCCCCTGAACAATGCCTGCTGATTTTTAAAAAGTAACCACTGAGACTCTCAGCTAGAATCTGCCTAAATGTGTTGCATGTTAAATAGCTTCTCTAAGTAAAAGAAAATAAAAGTTATGGTTGTTTTTTTTTTCCTTCTTTTCCTTCTGTGAAACATTCTCTCTACCTGCAAAACCCTATTTGGACTTCTAAGAGGAATTAATGCATTTAGGACCAGTGTTGTGATCATAATAATGACACAACAGGGGTTTCTGGCTTGTTTTGCATGGAAAGAAATGATTTAATTTGTCTTAATGTCACAATAGAACATTGGGTCAAAGCACTGGCATCCCCAGTGGAGGAAGGGCTTTATGTGTTTACCAGAGAGTCTGAAACAAGAAGGATGAAGAAAACTTGGCAGAACAATGAGTCCTGTGAAAATTTTGCATCCAGGTATCTCCAGTATGAGGAGAAATTAAAGCACAAACCTAAATGTCTTGGAAATGGGATTTGGGTACAAAATGCCTTTCAGTCAGTTCTATGTTTTCGAAGAACCACTGATGAATTTTTGAGATTTTACTCAGTCTCCCTCATTTTTCTAACATTTTACCGAGTTCAAACATGGATGGTATGGACAAAACATTGCTAATTTTGTGTTTTCAGGGTGTACAGGCATATCCCTCCCTACCTGCCATGTCTGCTGCCCTATCAAACCAATCAATCTACTGCCTACCCAGATATGCAGGTCCGTCTCTGGGAGCAGCTTTTCCTTCTGGTCCTTCAGAAAAGGATTCAGGATATTTGCAGGGTTTTTTTTCTTTACCAAAAGAGACAATTTAGGTATAATCTAACCTCTTGAATCTTTCTGAAATTATTTAAATTTTATTTATTTGTTTTTCTTCACACAGAAGACAGGGTGTGGATTTCTGTCTCACCCCTGTTCATCTCCCCTGCTGGAAACACTCCTCAGTGGGAAGTTAAACTCCTAATTGCCTCTGTAAATCAAAACTCAGTAATGCCCTGGGCAGATTTCACTCATTTCATCAGAGATACCTCCTGGAATTTCTACAGCTGAGCTCATCCCCTTTGTCCTTCTTCATAATCAGCTGGAAAGGGGCAGGAATTACATGTGTGATTCACCTCACAGCTCTTTTAAGATGAGATAAACCACATCCTGGACTCCACTAATTTATGGGAGCAGGGAATGGAGGGCAATGGATTCAGCTGCAGGGTTACAGGTTTGATGCCTACAGCTTCTTTTAGGAATTGCCCTGTGCCATAACAGCAGAGACATCAAATTGTGGTTCTATATTCAAATGAACAGGGCAGGACTCGAACACTGGACCTGAATTACTGGTGTACACAAAAAACAATGTCAGAAATGGAAGGAGAAAAGAAGACAAGTGGAAATGGCCGGAAGCTGCACCAGAGTAGGTTCAGGCTGGACATCAGGAAGAATTTTTTCACTAAAAGGGTTGTTAAGAATTGGAAGGGGCTCCCAGGGAGGTGGTGGAGTCCCAACCCTGGAGGTGTCCGAGGAAGGACTGGACGTGGCACTCAGTGCTCTGGGCTGGGGGACAAGGTGGGGATCAATCCAAGGTTGGACTTGATGATCTCAGAGGTCTTTTCCAACCTCAATGACTCCACAATTCTATATCCTCTGATCCCCACATTTCCATGTCATCCTTGCCATGGTGCTGAAGGCACATGGAGTGGTTTCCCAAGCAGCAATACCTACCCAGTGTCATCAAAGTGAAGCCTCAGCACTGCCCAGACAGTGACACAGATTGTTGGGGTACCTGCAGAGGACGACAAGGTGACACCATTAAAAGTTCTAGACACACCTAATATTCAGCAATGAGCTCTTCATGCAACCTCTCCACTGAGGTTTTACTTCCTAACAGCACTTGTGCATCAAATACTGCAATTCATTGCATTAATTCAGAGCTCTGCAGGGCTGGGACTGCAGGAGCAAAACTGATAACAGGGAAAAATGATGCTTCTTCAGGCCATTATTGCTCCAAGTTGCTGCACCACATCTTGTTGCATGAAGAGGAAAACAAAGTCTGCACAGAATAGAAGCAGGGACGTCCTGTCTAGAGCTGCTGTAATGATGCAATAATTGAAGAGGGCCAGATGTGGAGCTGCAATGGCATTATTGGATTCCCTGGATTCTTTTGAGGTTTTGTTGTAAATGATTTGCATATGTTGCATTTTCTCTGTTGCTGTGTAAATAACTGATTTTGCTTTACTTATTCAACCAAAATAAATCAATAGAGGAGAAATTTCCTTTACCCACGGGAATATTAAAATTTTTTCTTTAAAAAAAACCCCACAACAAAACAACAGCCTCTCAAAAGAGAATATTGGAGCAAGGATTTAATTTCTATTCCAGACGCTACTTCGTTCTTTCAAAAAATGCGTGTAAAATGCAAATTTAATCAAAACACCAAGAATCCACTAAGAAACCTGGATTTATTTTCCTTTCTAAAAACTCTAGAAGTGTGATTTTGCAATGGAATCATTTTTATAAAGTAATACAGTCTTGCAAGACAACTCTGGGTAATTTGGATCTACATTTTATGGTAAATAAAATTTTGATTAGGAAACTGCTGACATCTATTCAGGCACCACTGGAAAAATGAAGTGCTAAAAAGCAAACAAAACAAGGACCTTGGTAACCCAGCTCGCTGCAGTGAATGAGACTCATAAAAGCTGACAAGAACAATTATATTTCATATATTTTGCAAGGTTGTGTTGATGTCACGTTAATTAGTCATTTGATTGAACCCACTTAAACGAGACTCTGTCAAATCTCATATTCCCACTCCCAGAAATACAAATTTCCCTGTTAGACCTGATGACTGATGGAGCCCTTCTCCTTGAAATAAACACATGGGGGAATATTTGAAAGGAAGATGATATAAAGAAATAAAATGACAGGGTTTGGGGAGCAAAATCATGCATATTTAATGTCAGTTGAAGTCTTCTGTTCTCACAGGTGAGAAAACATGGAGATCTTTGTGCACTTATCAGATGCACAGTAACAAAATTAATTTTTAAATATCGAATTTTAATTTTAGTTTTATCAAATTAATTTTGAAATAGCAAATATCTACCCAGAGAACTTGTGGGTGTCCCATCCCTGGAAGTGTTCAGGATCAGCTTGGAGCAACTTGGGATAGTGGAAGGTGTCCCTGCCCATGGCAGGGGGTGGGAATGAGATGAGCTTGAAGGTCCTTTCCAACCCAAACCATTCTGTGATTCTCTGATTCTATGAAACATGGCTCTCACATTTTGTCTAGTTTGCACTGACTTGCACTGTATAAATTTGGATTTTATGAATAGTGTTCCAAATCTGAAAAAAAATATGCAGGAGGGCAGAATTAAACTAAATGTGTCCTAAAAATATAGTTCAAAAAAAACCCCACATTTCAGATCTGCTTGGAGCTTTGAACCATCTGCTGTATGAATATACATATACCCACAGAACTTTTCTTTACATCAAAAGATTTATGTCTCTTCATCACTTTCTTTTCAGCTTCTGAGCAACATTAGAAAACAGACAAGCCCCAAAGGCTGAGAAGAGAGTTATCCTTGCTGGCTGTACCCCCGCCCCGGGCACGGGGCAGGTATTAGGAGAGAACTCAGGAAGACAACAGTCTATCCAGAGAACTTCCCAGCATGTTGCAGATGTGAGGAGAAAAAAAATTGCCTGGATCAACAGAGCCATCTGTAGCTCTCATTAATCAAACAAGGACACTGCCGTGCTCAGCACATTTCAAGACAGAGATAAACATCCAGATGCTGCAAAATGCTGAGCTCTTGCTTATTGTTGCTTCAGTGCAACTCCCTCCCCACCAGCTCTGAGCTGAGGGGCTGTTTTGGCCCTATAGGAATTGCATCCAGAGTCTGGAAGTGCTTTGGTTCCTGCCAAGTGCTTCTACCAGGGCAGGGGAGCTACCAGTCAAGGTGGAATATGCAGGAGCTGAGACAATAATTGTGTTAAAAAACAAACCCAAACCATACACATCTGCAGATTCTCTTAGTGCTGTTAATGGATGTTATTGATGCTGCTTTGAATATGAAGTGATCTGAGTCTGTTCCCAGCTCTGGGACCCTCGGGGTAAGATAGACATGGACCTGATGGAATGAATCCTGAGGAGGCCAAGGGGATGCTCTGAGGACTGGAGCCCCTCTGCTCTGGAGCCAGGCTGGGAGAGCTGGGTGGGTTCACCTGGAGAAGAGAAGGATCCAGGGAGACCTAAGAGCCCCTTGCAGGGCCTAAAGGGGCTCCAGGAGAGCTGGAGAGGGACTGGGGACGAGGGATGGAGGGACAGGCTTTAAACTACCAGAGGGTGGGGTTAGATGGGATATTGGGAAGGAATTCTTCCCTGTGAGGGTGGAGGCCCTGGCACAGGCTGCCCAGAGAAGCTGTGGCTGCCCCATCCCTGCAAGTGTCCAAGGCCAGGGCTTGGAGCAACCTGGGCTAGTGGAAGGTGTCCCTGCCCATGGCAGGGGGTGGAATGAGATGACCTTTAAGGTCCCTTCCAACCCAAACCAATCTAGGATTCTATGATACCTGTAAATTGAACAGCTGAATTTTATTTATGGTATTCAACTCAAAACTGAATATTTTGAGGTTGCTTTACAGAATGAATTCATCTGGGTAGACCAGTCATTATAAAGACTGACTTCAAAATAAAAAGTAAAAATAAATATCAGTTAATATATTTTGTGTTGCAGTATTCTCATATTCAGACAAACCTACAGATATGAAAATTGTGCAAACTTAACAAAAGGAACCCAGCAACCTCTGGCTTGTTCAGATTGCTGAGATTTATACTTTTTTTTCCTTTGCAATTGTCACGTTTTCATGTACATAACCCCTAATTTCTCTTTGAGAACACAATTATGTCACAGCTATAATGTGACTGTTCATCTGTAGACAGTACAAAGGAAACTTTGAACACCCTTTCGAATAGTTTCTTTTCCAAAAACCTTTTCCAGTAACCATCCTTTCCCAATAGCAGTTTTATGCCATAGGTTATATATGATTATTTGGTCCCTTCTTTCTTCTCTATACCTTCTCTTTACTTTCTCTACTTCTATACCTTCTCTGTATCTTTTTCCTCCTATTGTAGGGAGTCTTTGCCAGGAGATGAGAATTTTTGTGTATGTACAGCTACCTCAGAAGGGGAAAACAAAATTACCTGTGGATTATTTGAAGATTCAAGAGAAAAGTTTAAGAAATGGGGGTTTTTTTGTGTAGACTTCACACATGAATATACAGGATTATTTCTAATTATCTCAAAAGTATGTTTAAGTGTAAAAATCGAGTTTAACATTCTCAGGGTACATTTTAAATGAATGTACTCTTCTGCATTCACCATCTGACTTCTGCACGAAAACATCAGCAAAGAACTGCTTGAATTAACACGTCACAGGAACCAATTTATCTCCAGAAGGCCAGAATGAAAAATAATTACTCTGATTATCATCATGCAACTGGCCTTTCTGAAAGAATACTTGTTTCTTCTCACTGCAAGCTTTTATTTCCCATCCAGGTAGGATGAGCATATGTGAATACCCTTTGGATACATTTTCAATTTAACTGTTATCTGGAAGAAAGGCACAAATGAAGCAAATGGACTGGACTTAGGATTGAAGATTTGATTAGGCTGAAGAGCTCGATATTAAGATCATATTTTGTAGGAGGCAATTTTCTGTCGTGGACTTCATCTCTGAAAGGGATGTGGTGTCCTCCAGATTTCAGTTCAACTCTGCTCAGGCAGAAAAAGCACAACACAGCGGTACTTCCACACAAAGACTAAAATTATGCTTTGAAACTGTGCGTGGAAATCTCAGACGAGACACATTTTAGACAAGAAACGTCACCTACCCCAGCCAATGATTGTGTACCAGTAGAAATATCTCCTCTCTGGGAAAAAGGTTTCTACCAACAAAGTGAAAAGGTACAACCCCTCAATGAAAAGCCAGAAGTAGTTGGACATGACGCAGTAGTGAAAAAACACCATCACTGCTTTGCATTCCACCTGCAGAGAGTCGAGAGAAACAAAGTTATTTCCGTTGTCGCTTCTGTCTAACAGACAGAAAAAAATGCTTTTAACCTCCCCAAATCTCTCTGTGGAAAGAGCTGGGGCTGGTATTGCACACTTTTAACAGTAAAGTTTTGAAAGAATGAGAAGAATGTGAGGTACAGCAATGCTTGAAAGGGGAGGAAGGCAATTTTACCAGTGGGAGCATCTGCACACGGACAGTCTTGCACTGGGGAGAGTTCACATCCTCAGTGAAAACCAAGTGCTAGATTTAAGCCCCCTCCCAAGCATTAAGTGCAGGGAAGAAAAGAATCCAGCTGTGTTTCGGGAAACCTAAGGAAGGATGTGAAATGGCAAGATGACCGTAGGGGTCCCTGAGAGTGGGATCAGGGAGGATGCACCCTCCTGAGCTCAGGTGAGAATTGCACTGCCTTGACATCATCAGGGACTAAAAATGAAAGTAAGTGTGAGAGTAAAGAAGGCTGAGTGATTAACTGTATAAAATGATGGAAACTTTCGTTCATTAATGGGGGACAATGCAGCAAACTAAAGAAAAATAAAAAATAATAATAAAAAATAATAAAAAGAAGGAACTGGGTTTGTTTAGCCCAGAGAAAAGAGGGCTCAGGGGAGACCTTATCACTCCCTACAATTACTTGAAATGAGGTTCTAGCAAAGTCTTCTCCCAGGTAATAAGTGATAGGACAATAGGAAATGGCCTCAAATTGCACCAGGGAAGATTTATATTGGATATCAGTGAAAATTTCTTCATGAAAGGGTTTTCAAGCCAGGGAACAGGCTGCTCAGGAAGTGGTGGAGTCACCACCCCTTGAGGTATTTAAAACATCCCTGGAGGTATTTTGAAGACCTCCAAGTGTGGATGTAGCACTTGAGGCCATGGTTTAGTGGTGGATCTGGCAGTGCTGGGTTAATGGTTGGACTCCATGATCTCAGAGGACTTTTCCAACCTAAACCATTCTGTGATTCTCTGACAAAAGACTAAGATGGAAACTGAGCTCTACCCTGACTCTGAAAGCAGGACGCACTGGTCTTTCCAGTGTTGCACCTTAGTGATGTTTTTAGATGTTTTAGGTATTTTCATCCCTACAAAAGTAGGACTTCTCAACAAATCAGAGCAGAATCAGTGGATAAACTGGAAGCTCCTGCCTGGGGCAGCGGGAGCCTGGCAATTTTGGTTGGTTCCCACTTGCCTTCCACCCTCTGGGCCAAACCTACAACCAATGTGTAGATCTTGAGTTTGTTCACAGAAACTCTACCAGGAGGATTTGGGGATTGAATGGTGAATTTTTACATGTACTGTGCTTCAAGTGTTTAGAAACAAAGAGGCAGATGCCACCATTGGAAGAGTGGTAGGAACAAACCACAGAACTAACATGTCTTCAGCTTTACCACAGAGAAGAATTGAGAGAAAAAACTAGTTTCAATGACAAAGAAAAGGCTGACTAAGAAACTACACAGCTGCTCTTTCCTTGTGGAAGTGACTCATAGGGAATTTAGCTCATAACTGGATGGATAAAGGAGAAGTCAGTTTGTAATTCCGTCATAATTACACCCAGTGAGCTGATTTATGATATCAAATACTAGCCTTAACTGTGAAAGAAAATGGGATTTACACATAATATATGGCTAAATGCATCTGTGAAAGAGACTGCTTTTCATGAAACTCCACATTTCAGAGACAAACACGTGGCTCATACCAATGAGTTGCTGAGAGTGTGACCATCGGATGCATTTTCTGTGTGAATGGTCACCCTGTTTGCACAGGACTCTGCCTGACATCCGGAACAAATGAGGCTCTGGAGGAAAAACAGACCTTCAGAGGGAGGAAATTGCTTGTGCCTGCTCTCATCCCACCCGCTGCTCTGCAGACTGTGAAAGGGAGAAACAGTCTGAGCAGAAACCAAAACCTGTAGGTTTGTCCTGAAGGATTGGCCACTGGACCCTGGTGACATCATGAGATACAACATCCAGTTTGGCTGTGAACTGGGAGGGCAGTTTACCACTTTTTCTCTTAATGGCATCTCAGTTTATGATACTCAACAGACTTGTGCCTGCCTCACTATTTTCTTTTATCTCATGCTGGAAAGAATCAAGGTTTCAGTTTTACTCACTGTTGAGATGAAGCAGTGGTTGCCATCCTGTTCAGCATAAAGAACCCCATCTTTGATGAACACGGATATTGCACGCAGGATGAACGAAACAAAGAGGTTCATGTGGATGAAATTCCGAGTGCAGTGAAGCTTCCTAGAGAGCAAAGAGGAAGGGAGGGGAAAAGAAGAGAAATAAAGAAGAAAATGGTTGTATTTCATCACACTGGGCCTATCTGCACATGGCCAGAGCACCTTGGTGCTAAGAATAGCAACATTTATAAGCCAAGACTGTGGTTATACTGATCTTAAACCTGAGCAAGGGGAGGATTTGGGCATTTTCTTGTAGCATAAAATAGGCTCAGTCCAATGCATCTTCTGAAGATTCATAAAACAGACACAAAATTTCTCCTGATGCATTTACAGCCTACTGAAATGTGACTACTGGAGTGTGCCCAAGCTGGGGGAGCAACTCAATTAAAGGGTTTTCTCTCTTGTATTCTACATCTGATGAGGTAAAAGCTTGGACAGATGAGGTCCAATTTCTCTCCTCCAGTGACCCAACAGCTCATTGCCCACGTCCTGACTCACCTGAAACGACACAGGATGACCATGGCAGTGGTGAGGGACACCAGGGAAGTGCTGTATCCCACTGTGTACAGAGCCTTCACAGACAGATAGTAGTAATCCTTGGGAGGCAAACAACACGTGGTTAAAGGGTTCATCTACAGCCACATCTTCCTTACCCTGTCAACATGTAGGGGGAACCAGAGGCAGGATTTGTTTCTTGAACAACCTGGTTTCTCCTCTATTTCCTCTGAGATCTCACTGGATATCAGAGCTCTGCTCTATGTCAGCTGTGTCCTTGGCTTTGTGTATCATGAAGTTATTTGTCAGAGAGCTACCAAAAGCTATCTTTATTTTTTTTTGATCACTGTGCACGCATCTGTAGGAAAAAATACTTGGCCAAGGAATTCTTTAGTCAATAGGAGAAGAAGTGCAGGTTAACCCACAATTCTATAAGTTACAAGCTGCATGAAGAGTAAAAACTCATCTTCTGTAAATATTCAGTACCAGGCTAAGAAGGATTTAAACCTCACATTTTTATACCCATAAATATCCGATTGCTTATTCTCATCACTATCAAATCATAACATGACCAGAGGCTGGGCAAAAAGCAGTGCTGCTGCTGCTCCCCCCCTTCATTTGTTTATAGTTACAAGACTAATTCCCACCTGGTTATCGGACTCTGTCTCATTTTCGTCAAAGCCACAGGCATCGTAGTAATGAGGGAAAGGTTCAGACCAGCCATCCTCAGTGCAATTCCTGCTGATGTCCCCTGTGCCAAATTGGGAATGTGACACTGTGGAAGCAGACCCCAGGACATGCCCTCCCTCCTCTTGAAAAGAAAACCCCACGGTTCTACTGAAAACACTGTTTATCTGGACATCCATAGAGGATTTTAATTTGACATTTAATGACATCTTTGATGACCCAGTTCTACAATAGGTACCTATGGATGGCAACCACTACAGAGAGCAAAAATATGTAATCAGAGTATTCAGTGTCTCCAAGCCACCAAAAATCTCATTCTCATGTGGGTACCTAAACCAGGGGGCAGCAAAATGTCCAGTTCTCTCCATTGATTCTGAAAAGCATCTCGGGAATCCAGCTTTGCTGTGGACACCTACATTTCAGGGGGCCAAAGGATAAAGTCCAGTGCTTAAATACAGGCCCTCTGTGCTATTTTAAGTGGTCTGTATCTGAGGCACATGCATGGGACTGGAGAGTAAACATAAGGTCAACATGAATTTTTTTGGACCAGTTGCTGGAAGCCAGGTAGGATATGTGGGATATCTGAACTAGCCATTATATATCCATGGTGAGGCAGCTGGTTTGTTTTCCTATGGTCAGATATACATCATATATCCCACTCAATTATCTTCAAGGATAGGCTCTGATCTGAGAGTGAATTTTTAGGGAAGGTCTGTAGGAAAACAGGTCTGTAGAAAAAGGAAAGATGGAGTGGGAGTTTCTCTCCAACCTCTGTCTTCATGGCAATACGTTCATTTACAGATGGTGGCTTCAGTTGACAATTTAAAACCTGGTTCAGAGCTTCTCACATTCCTCTGACTATTAATTGTTCCAGTTCTGTCTATAAGCTCAATTTTAAGCAAATATTTGCTTAAATACCCAGGTTTTTTTCCTAATCTGCTGTAAAGACTAGATCTTAAATGGCTTTCACTGACACACAGGCTTAAAACTGCACTGGAAAACTAGAGTTGAGGGTAGAAGAGGAAGGAATCTCTTGACACTCACTTTGCTACGAGGCTGCCTGAGGTGGGACAGCCCTTGTGATGCTCTTTTGAAGCACCATTATCTTGCCAGAGCTCAGTGCCCTGGTTATAAAACTAGGGCTGGGCTTCTGGCTGCACTTCTCCCTCTCCAGCACAACAGAACAGCTTCCATTTATTACAGTTTTTGGAGTTTCAGCTGTACCTTGACCAAAACCAATGGAAATTTCCAAGGTTTGGGTTTGGGTTTTGTAATTAAGGTTGTGCTGCTTTGAATTCTTAGAGCAGTTTAGTCAAGCAGCTCATGACCTTATTTTTAGAGATTGTGTTTGCCATCCATGCAGCAGAATATATCTCTTTAATCACAGCATTCATTTAAAAACATTGCATTACTTGGCAAATTTTGGTAAATGACTCTTGCACATTCATCCCTAGTTTTCTATGGAAAATAACAACTGAATCATGGTGTTGACTGTCTTTAACACCATTTAGTAATTACTGTTAAGCAGGTAGATATCATTTATAGCAACACACTTCCCCAGATTGTAAGGCTTAATAGCAGAGGAATAAATTTTCATAATACTGCTAAAAGTAACATAGCAGAAAATATATCATTATAATTAGCACTGATTAGAAAATAATATCAAAATGGCAGGGAAAAAAAACCTCTGAGCTTCCTTTTTAACAGAGATAAATAAAAAGAGAAAAAAACCTCCATGGTTTTATTTCTTACCTAGGGGAGACTGGGCTGTGCTTTCCAGCAGGTCATAATCACCTGGAAAAGTGGAAATTTGGTATGAAATTGTTTTGATTGTGTTTTCTATTAGGACCCAAACTGGTCTCTGTGGAAATCCGTGAATAGGATGCAATTGATTTTTATTAGTTTAAATCAGGCCCAAAGGCAATAAATACTTGATTCTGTCTTCTCAGGAAGTAAACATGGTTTTGCTTGTGAGTTTAAATCAAAGTTGAACCTCTAAAATTAGAAGGTAGCTACTGTAAGAAACAAACACATAGCTAAAAACACAGACAATCAAACCAGGAAAAGTTTGATTGTAAAACTATAGAAGTCAAATATTTTATCTTTAGGAATTTACATTTATAATACATAGGTATTTAAATATGGTCAGTTTTCAGAGAGTTAATGAAAAATTATATTCATCCATCAATGACAAAAAGCAGTAACTAGTTGGTTTAAGTAAGATAATTTGATTTTGTGGGTTTAAGATAAATCACATTGATTTATAAAGACTTATGAGATTTTTAATTGCATTTTTTATCTGAGACTTACAATCAACTAAGTGTATGATTGTCATAATGGTCGATACACAAACAACTTTCCAGTAATCTGATATTTCCATGTGCTCTGCACAGTTTTTGGGAACAGAGGTACCTAAAAGGTAGGCAGCACAAATGGTTCTTACCTGCATGGGTTTGCCCCAAATTATCTACCTCCCAACCTGAAATGAGAAGGATAAAAGTAATTAATTATTTCCTGTCAATAGTTAATATCAAAATTTAATTTTGATAACAGTTTGTTTCCCATAAGGGGAATGGATGTAGCAGAGCCCAGAGAAGAACTGCAAGTTTAATTCTCTACTTCATTATTGGCCTTGTGTTTTTATGAATGGAAAATGGTTTTCAGAAGATGATTGATTGCATTGTATTGTTAAATATCTGGTTATCAGGAAGTTTGATCAATATCCAGGAACAATAAGAAAAATAGGTGAGGGAGCTTTGTTTCTGAGGATTTTTTTCTTTGTTTCTTTCATATTTTTAAGTGAGGGGGAAGGTTGTGAAATAAGAAAGACCCACACACTTACAAAACATTGTGCCAAAATCCATGGTGATTTGTATACTAAAAATACAGATGTTACAACATGAAATGATAACAATTTGGGTTTACATTAAAAAATGTCCTTTTCCTTTATTTCCTTTTCCTTTCTTTATTTCCTT